TGTGTGTACGAAGCTTAACGCGCAGGGGAAGTGGTATACTCGTCGCTAGGCGCACGCTTGGCTTGCGCCTCACAGGCAGACGTAGACAGACAGAAAGACTACTACCGCGCGCGGTCATTGCTGTTATGAAGATGAGACTTTGAAAGACTACTGCTACGTGCGAGAGAGTGTATCATCGGGTTTGTTTATGTGTACACATGCTTGCGGTCTATAGGCCCCGCGCGTGTAATACGTCTTTATTAGATTTTGCGCTCGGCCGCTGTCTTTCGCTTTGTGTATATAAACAACACGCGAGCACGATTCGATGATCGAGCTGCGAGAGAAAATCGCGTTAACTCGATATATATTATTATTCTGCGAAAGCTACGTATAGGCTTATTCGACGTTATTTCATTAAATTCGCACGCGACTGCGGGGGCTGATTTATCCAAGACGAGACGGGCGTATATAAATCCCCCAAGGGAGCAGCAGCAGCAGTAGCAGAGACAGACTCGGAAATATACAAGGAGAGAAAAAAAAAGAAGGTGCCAGACGGCAAAACAAACTCGGACTCGAGCCGAGAACGGTTTAATGCAGTATACTGTTGCTGCTGCTGCTGGTGCGTAAGTAAACTTTAGCGCAAAACGTACACACACACCCGAGTGCGCACCCGACGACGACGAGATGAAGATGCAGTGAGCTAGCTGATGCTGCTGCGTCGCGTAAGTGGATGCTGCTGCTCTGCCGTGTATATTACACGCGCGCGCGACGCACCAGGCGCGTATATATTCTACACACCTAAGATTCTCCGTTGCTGATAGCGTGTGCGAGGCGAGCTTATATATAGGGGTTGCTGCGTCGGAGAATTTCCACTTACCGCCTACACTACGCGCGATTTTCCTCATATATTTTGTGTGCGTCGCTCTCGCTACTTCTTGCTTGCTGCTCGGTGTCATCGCCCGAGCGTATAGTGTGTGTGTGTGTGTGCAATTTTCCCTCGTGCGGTTGTATACAGAGGCTCCCTGCGTAATAGCGCCTAGACGCACCCGCGTACACCCGCGGCGCCGCTTTTTCTCTAGAGTACGCTCGTTTCGGGATCTTATAAATATAAGCCAAGAGAGCTTTGCGCTATACATGTACTTGGATGATTCCTACGGGGGTGTGGATCGAATTTCTCGATATATTTTATTTCAAACCGAGACTCATCAACTTTCTATTGTTACGCGATTTTTTTCGCTTTCTCATGCTTGAATAGTAAATTCGTAAAAATCATTTTTGTTTCCCATCTATCGTGAATTTATACGAGGAGCATCGAAAGATTCGTATGATTGAGCGAGAAATACGACTCGGATTAGAAGTAAATGATTTATGAATTTATGCAAAAGTAAAAATCTGCACTGTAACACTTACTTGTGCTTTATTGTTCTATCGGAAGATGTGTTAGCGCGAATATGATATATAATTTCTACCTGATTCAGTAGTTGAACACTAAAATCTGGAAAAACATTTGTATTAGAATTAGTAATTGTGAATTAATACGGTTTCTTTTTGTATTAAAATTTTCACAGATAAAATCGAAAATGGTTAAATTATTAGGTAAAAAATAATTTTCTATACATTGAATTATAAACGGGTTTTTTTTATGAAGAGAATGAAGTGTATTCGCGCGTATGCTATCGTATAATACTACCTCTCTTACTTTATACTGTTTTCCGCACCCTCTCCGTGAGAGCGAACGAGCTAGCGCGGCTGCACGTAAGAGTCTTTTCAAAGCACACGCTTACATATACATACAGCGAAGAGGAAAAATTTTCAAAATTAATAAGCCACTACTCTTGAACGCGGAGATCGAGAGTCGAGTCTCGAGTCGAAAGTTGAAAGAAAATTGAGAAAGTCTCGGGTCCCGCGCTCGCGGGAAAGAAAAGGGACACGCAGACGTAGAAAAGTACTACGACGACGACGACTCGACGTACTTAAAGAGAGAGAGAGCGAGGATTGTTCGAACGTAATGAATTTAGAATAGGGGTTGCAAAGAACGACGACGATATGCTGCTCGTAGCTCGTCGAAAACGTCTCGCTGAACTTTCCTTCTTCTTCTCGTCTTCGTCTCGCTGTAATATGCATCCAAGTATATATTTTTATGTAATTCAGACTTTCTGGACAGGGAGGAAGAAGTTTGCGTACAAATAGGATAATAACTAAGATGGTTGTTTCGCCGCGATATAATTGGTAATTTTAACTTTGTAATCTATTAAATTGATAAATTGCCACAAGTTTCACAGTCTAAGTAGTGGAGAAAAAAAACTTCTATTACAATCTTAAAAGTTACCGCACGAGGTTAATTAATTACCTTCCTATATACGAAAAAAAAAGATTCGCTCGCACTTTCTTCCTGCTCAAGAATCCAGTGTTCTCCGATAGTGTTATATATACGCTGGGCTCTCCCTCACCGAAAACAAATCAGAACTATTTCACGGATAAGAGCTGCGAGGTAGTAGCAACGAAACGAAATAAAAAGAGAATGAAGAAACTGCGAACTAGTTTATCTCAATCTTCTGCTCGCGCGCGCACAATAATCGTTTTTCATCTTCTTTAATCGGAATGGACAAAGGCGCGACACATGCACTGCACACGACGACTACGACGACGAAGAAGGCACCAAGTAGAAAGAGAGAGAGTAAGAAAGAAAAGAGACGGGCAGGCATATAACTCACCGAGTTCGCACGTTCTCTTAATACAGTCATAAATAAATCTGCAACGCGCAGTGGCAGTGCGGCAGACGTACATGGCTTATATTATATATATAAATAGGAGGCAGTCAGGCAGCCACCACCACCACTACCAATGGTAGCGGCAAGTCGGTCGTATTAGCAACGATATTAAAACGAAGGCAATATAATTCTTTAATACAGTTAATCGTCTTGAGGCAATATAAACGTTTAGTGACGGTGGCGGCGGTGGTGGTGGTGGTGCTCGCGCGCGAGCGATGCAAGTGACTCGAGGCGAAATGAGCAAATTGACTGGCGCGTGTGATAATATTATACCCTCGCGCGCGTGAGTCGAAACGATTTCTCGCGCGCGCTGACGAGGCAAGCTCGTGGCATTGCAGCTTCATTTCCTTCGTTTAAAAGCGCGCACGAGGTTTGTACTTTACGATCGCGTGTGTGCAGTTCGTATTTACGTGAACACGTCTCTGGTCACATGCGCGCGTAGCTAAAGATGACGATCGCTTTTATGACACGAGAGCAGCAGCGAAAATTCAATCGAAACTGGACAGAGCGTCCAGTCCCTTTTGTATGGGTGCGTATATAACGATGAAGTACATATTGAAGAGTTCCCTTTCTATTCTGAAATCGAAATTGCGTTGGAGAATCGGTTTTGTGTTCGTATTAAATGTGTGCCTCTCGCTCACCTTAGCCATGGTTTTACGACTCTGCGTTTACGCATCGTACTAATACTACCACTAGTACACGCACGCACGTAACCGTGACCGTTGGTAATTGGATTTTTAATAGAAATTCACCGACGGCGGGGGGTTTCTTTTTATCACTGACAGGTCGTTTTCATTGAAAATGATAAGGAGAAAAAACGAGCCCATGCACTACCACCATCACCACATACATCGACAAACGTAAAGGGGATTGCGATACGTCATATTATTGTATGGCGAACAGTCGAGCCAATTTACGTGTTGTTATTGCGCGTGTAAGGCTGTAGTACACGAACTAGTATGACTGTGGAGATAATTTTACGCTTTTCGAATACACAATGAGGGCTTCGGAGAGTGTTTTTTTGCTATTGAACGAGTAGAAAACGAGAAAAAATAGACGAGTTTGAAAAAAACGAAAACAAAACAAAACATCGATAGGATGTACGAGATTAGATTATAGTTCTGATCGTTTGTTTTTTTGTTCTCAATTTTTTTTCTTTTTTGCACAACTGTACTACCACGACAGACAATAAAACACATCGTAATTTCGCGCGTTTTATTATTCTTATAAGCGGAGATTCGCGCGCAAATGAATCATCCACCGCGTGCGTCCCATTTTACAGCGCACCAAAGTAGTGTTAGTTGTGTTCGCGACGAATTACGAATTCATCGGGCGTTTTCGAACGAACACGAATACGCATTATTAACGAGTGTCACAAGCTCCCCATAAGTATATAGCGCATCGCGTTACGCATTATTCGGCTTCGGAAATCGAGCTCTCAAAAAATGCCCGCGAGTGTTATTTTTCTGCATTGCTCTCTGATGATCATTTGCATGAGAATATTAAAAAAAAATCTGAGGAATCAAAAGTTTTTATTTATACTCGGGGGGGATTTATAGACGTTCAAATGAGAAACGGGTATTTTCTTGGGATACGATGACAATCGCTTTGTTGCCTTATCGCTCACTTGGCCCGGTACTCAAGACCGGTGCTAAAAAAGACAAAAAAAAAGAAGAAAAAACAACCGTCAGGAATTTGGTATGCGTACACTAGTGGTATATACACTGCGTAAGGTGAAAAAATTTGCATCCAGCGAGGATTTTTCGAGATTATTACGCACGATGAAGTTTCGGCGTAAAAAAGTTGTGAAATATATATCGCCGCGAGTCGCTGTAACGCTTAAGATGTTCTAATTTTAATATTTATCATCTTACGCTTTTTCACACTTCTCTCTCCAGGATAAAGTGTTTCAATTTTTTACGATATTACATTGTTGCGAGGAGTTTTTTGTCGTTCTTGACATTTTTTAATTGCAGGCTTATAATATTAAAAAAAAAAATAAATAAAAGTTATATTAACATAATCCCAGCGAGCGAGTTTAATAAACGAAAGGATCGAAAATAATATGAAATACATGGAATTGATAGTATTTCATAACTGGAATATCGACACGCGCGTTTTACAAAAACTGGCAACTCGAAAAATCTCCCGAACATTTAATTAATAACAATGTCACGCGCGTGTGTTTTGTGATCCTTTTTACGACAGTGCTGTAAAAACGAAGAATCAAGAAGAAGCCAAAAAAACAAGTTGTAACGACATGGACGATCACGAAATTCAATCGACGGTCGAGGCGATGCTCGGGCCCGACGTCAAGATCATCGACTGCGAGAAGCAGTCTTGCGTCAAGGAGGAAGAGGTGCTGCTGATCAACGGCGTGCCGATAACCCTCGACGAGCCCGACGGCATGGCGATACGCGAGGCCATGATCACGGGCCAGGTGCCACCCTGCGACCTCCTCAATCGCATACTCATTCGCGCCGGCATACAAAGGTAAGTGCACGCACAATGATATCGCTATACTAGTATAGTACTTAAGTTTCCATATACTCGAGACCGGCGCACATGAGGGTACATTCATAAAACTGTGTATAGTTTATTCACGGATACGTATCTCTCTGTGTTATATACGCACGAGCGATTTTATGCGGCAAAATCGCGCACGTGCGCGCACGGGGGACCATTTTTTTTGCTTATTCTTTTATCGAGATTTAATAAATTACATTATTATTCAAAAGCCCGAGTACCCGAGTCGTTCGTAATCCGATTTTGATATTTCGCATTTTCCGCTCGAGCGATTTCATTCGGCAATGTATCGATTCTTTACTCTACACAGCTTCAGCGTGGAGCACCGCGTGGACGTGTACGTACGCGGAATAACAAATTGAATTTTACACGATACTTATCGACCTTTAAAAATGATTCATCTTTATCGCTTAATAATAATGCGCTCCGGAGCTCCAAGTTCAACAGTCTTTCGCCGATAATTCCGATGTCCAATAATTTATTTTCCCTCGCCGCCACCGTTATAAATAGCCCATAGAAGTAGACGACCGTTTAAATGATGAATATAGCTCGTGGTACTCTATCCTTCTCTCGCTCTCTCTTTCTCTCTCTCTTTCGCACATTTAGCGGAGTCATTTTCTGCTCAAACGCTTCTTCGCAACGACCGAAAGATACTGCGCTCGCTGGCGCCACGGAGCTCGCTGCATATAATAATAAAAAGAACAAAAAGTATCCACACGACTATTCGCGCTCGCGGGGGCATTATTCGTATAAACTTTAATTCTCGCAATTTCGCAGTCGATGCCATAAAAATGTTCAGCTCCTTACGTATATATATATCGTACCTTTTAATACTTTTATAGGCTGCGCGTAAATACGCGTGGATCGATCTCGACTCCATTCAACTTGTATACGTATATATACCTTTAAGACGAATTGCGAAAAGGGCAAATGATACATTCTAGGCTCTATACTGTGTATACGTACGGTATCGGTTTTCACCGTAGCAGTACCTTATTTCCTATATACCTCGCGCGGGCGTAGCTATCTCGTAAATTCTCCTTTTCTTCGTCGACCCGCCGGACTCGCAGTGTACGTATGTGTCGTCTCTTGGCCCTTTTAATGAATCACTACCGGGACTTCTTGCGCGCACCGTAGCTCAAGAAACATATTGCGAGCGAAAATAAAAAAAAAGAGAGAAGGAGGGATAGAGAGAGAGGAGAATCCTTTTACGTTCGTTTGTACAAGTGCTGAAGGTAAAGAGCTGGCGAGTGTATAAAATGCAAATTGTATTCTGATCGCAACGAGTCTTTATTGTACTACTACTCGTTGATCGTGATACTTTTTTCTGCGAGCCACGTTGATTCATTTTTAATGCCTTTATACATTTCGCGCTTCGCGTACCGATGCGACGAATTCGCCTCGTCGTTGTATCGCGCGAAATTCGCAAGTGTCTATATCGTATGCAGAATGCATTTTACAGCTCTTTTTCTCTCTCGAATCGTATTATGCACGTCGTATTGAGTCGTCGCTCGAGTTCGCGTTGCCGCCCGGTTGGCAGCAAACTCACTTGTAAGAATATAAATGATAGCCGTGGGCGGGCAAAGAAAAATAATTAGCGCATGGTATCTCTTTTCTCCATGGCTTCTTTCCTCTCTCTCTCTTTACTTGACATTGACACATTTTTCGCCTGCGCGCGCGCGAGAGCTCATGCTTTTTATTAGCTTATCTTGACTCTCCCCCTCCTACCATCTTTCTTTTTCAATTCTGTGATGTGCTCTCGTTGCCAATGCTGTCCCATTACTCATTCACCGAGGCTTACATATTATCAAGCAAATTAATGCTCGCCGACATGCGCGCCGACAAGCAATAAAGACATCAGCATTGAATCACTTTAAATATGCTTATAATACTCGATCCAGCGACGCGCTCGAGAACTCGCGCCCGCAAACATATTACGAACGTGCATTTCTCGTTATATCAGTTCGTTAAATAAAATAAACAAGAATTTTTTTTTCGTGCCACGATATCGCGCGACGAGCCTCTCTCTCTGCAGCACAGTTCTTGTATTTTTATATTTTGTGCAGCGACAACACGTGCGTGTGTGTCTGTGTGTGCGAGGATCGCATACCCGCGCGTGCAATCGCAAACACGAGAAACATTTCGTCGACGATGCAATAAATTTTATACCGAATCGACAGTACAACGGGGCCCTGATCGCGCGCGTCAAGAGGCTTTACACGTTACACCGAGCATAATCTCTTTTTGACTTTCGTACGTACACACAATACGCAAACACACACGCATTGCACACACGTGTGTGTATCTGAACGCGTGAGAAATAAAATTTAAAATCGAAAAGCGGACGATAATTCAACTGACAACTTCCGCATTAGCCGAAAGAGTCTTGCCTCATAACACAAACAAGGCGCGCACAGAGAGAAACGAGCGACACCCTACGATGTTTCGCCGCTGCAGCAGCAGCAGCAGCAGCAGCAGATCCCCACCGCGGCGAGCACTGCAGTAACACGAGAGAGATAAAATCTTGCGACCCTATGTGTGTTTGCAGCAGTGGCACTGCCTCGCGCTCTGCGCACACACATATTGTATCGATCCTCTCGATATCTGTAACTATTGCTCGATACACACAACGTCGGCGTTGCGCAGCGCGGAACGATGTGCTACGCGGTTTCGATGCTTATAACTCGTGTGTCTATAAAAGCACTTGATGAAAAGTTTTCGGTTTCTTTTAACAAATATTGGAGGAAGGAAAAATCCTCTATATATGGGTACAGGAAATACTGCGCGCGACCGAAAAAAGTCCGCGTGTTCCAATGACGATATACGTATATAGTCTATGTACTTACAAAGAACTCGAAAAGCGAAAAGTCACGACTCTCGAGAGCTGGTGGTATATATAAGGGAAGTGAAATCTTCGCAGAGGTAGGAAGAAAGAAGTAGCGCGCAGGGCCGGAGAGTCAACAATGAAACGAGAAAAGATAGAGCTTTTTCAATTTCGTACTTTATTTTTCATTCGTTCGTATAGAAAAGTAACGACTCGTTAATTGAAAATAACAGAAGTCTTGAAAAATTAAATTGCGCTCGAAATTTGTTGAACATCAACAATAGGGAGATAAATATTAAGTGGCTTAGGATATTACTCTTTGCGCGTATTTTTATACTCTCGCGTACCGCGTGTGACATTCTCGCACTCTTCAGTGATTAATATTTAAAGTGTTTCTCGGCTCTCGCACTCGCGCATATAATATACTCGCACCTCTTTCTAACACAGGCCTGTCTAAAGCTAACATTGCGCGCCTTCCTAACTTATATGTACTATAACGCGAGAGATCGTTCGCGCGTATATAGCGTATGGTATAGTAATAGCGCGAGAAGCGAGAAATGGAAAAACGCATATACGTATACACGGCACAGAGGCTGCTTTTGCCGCTGGAGGCGTAGCATCTGGCGCTCAAGCTCGGGCCACATAAATCACTCGAATGCGCGAAGCACGAGCGAGTCGAGCGCGTGCCCACTAGATTTAACGTTGGTTGGCTTTTTAGGAGGATTTCGTAGTGACTGGAGCTGTGAGCTGCTACTTGCTACTTGCCTTCCTTGCGGGAATCATCCGCGCGACTCGAGAGAGAGAGAGAAGTGACTTTCTTTGTCGTAGCGTATACCTCGTAAAATAAAATACGAGCTTCTAAATGCGTCGTGCTTCGATCGGAGAATTACTAATTATGAACAATGGCTTTTGTGTCTGTTACCCTCGTGCGCGCGCGAGCTCGTTCCAGGATTTTCAGCCCCCTTGAAGAATTTCAAAAGTTCCTAATAACGCAGCTGTATTGATTTCTTTTTCTTTTTTTCTCCCACAGGGTACCGGTGCGTTTGGAGACGTCGCTCAACGTGAAGTCATCGATCGTCACCAAGGAAGAGGTCACAGTAGCCAGAGATGGCAAAATCGTCGACGAGCGCAGTCGCGAGACCAAGGAGAACAACAGCTACTCCTCCACGACGAGCGAGATCTGGGAGCCGATCGGCGTCGTGCAGCGCCCGAAGAATCCCAACAAGCCCTTCGACAGCTCGGACGAGTCGCGGCCCAACTCCAACGCGAGCTCCGATCAGGGATACACGACCAACACGAGCACCAATAACGTTCTTCACGACGACATCGCTGCTGGTGCTGGCGGTGGTGGTGGTGGTGGTGGTTTAAGCGGCCGCCTGACGAGCTGCCCGTTCTGCGGCGACGGCGTGGTGGCGGATTGTCCGCAGAATTGCTGCTTGACGACTAGCCTGTCGGGTCTGGGATTGAGCGACGTCGTCGTTGGCGGTGGCGGCGTTGGTGACTCGGTGGTCGACGGCGAGGTACTACTGGCAGCGGCCGATAGCAGCGGCGGTAGTGGTAGCGGCGTTGGCAAAAATGGAAAGCTCAAGGGAGTACAAACGACTGCATCCGCGGTAAGCTATGTCTTCGGAATTATAAACCGTGATTACAGTCGGACGCAGCGGCAGCAGCAGGTATATTTAATCCAATGGATGCGCCGATGCCGTTTCCGCGCGCAGTTATAATCCTTCCAACTGAGCTAATTTTTCTTTTTTTTCCTCTCGATCCGAAGTCTTATGACGCGCTTATCGTAGAAGGATCTTAATAATAACGAGTCGAGAACACGATTGGTTCATCGCGTCGAAATCGGAAATAAGAGATTTAATGCAGTAATATCGGGTTAGCTTCCATAGCAAAGTGGCAATTGCTTTGTTCTACAAACGATCGAGCGAGCGACTCTCACTTGCTCTCGGTTGCGGAACGACGTGTACGACGCCTGCTGCATTGTTATTATTTTAATAATCCCATTATTTCTAATGAATAATTCATAATATCTTGAATGACTCATTAAGAGCGGCAGAAAGCGCGCAGCAGCAGCAGCAAGAAAACAACGTCGCGCTATTAGTGTTGTTTCGATCTAATGTACACATTGTGTATTTGTGTTTATATATTATGGTTGAGAAGCAAAAAAAGAAGGATATCGTGTAATAGCGCGTGGAACTATTTTATTATTGTATTCTGTGATATTCACGTTAAGTAATACACGTTGAAGTTGACAGATTATTGATTGAAAGGAAAAAAAAATGTTCGTTGGTTGGTAGCGGAAAATACCCGATTGTATAACAGAAATTCAATATCGGTGGTATTGGGTCTCAATTCAAAGGTTTCTACGGACGAACTTGGATGAGCGCATCAAATAAAGGGAGCGAAAGACGATCAATTTCTCTCGAATTAAAATGATAGGGGGAAGATGTAACTAATTCTTTTATTTACACTTTGATATATTTATGACGTTCGCGTTATGATGTTTGACTTTAAACAAAAGATTCGGATGAAGCAATTCATCCTCCCGAGTTTTTGTTATACCTACTGTTTTTCCCCCAATAATCTCGATTATCATCTTTCGTAATGCGAATACAAATTCCCTGCTGCTCTCACACTGTAGGTAAAAATACTTTTTTCCACATCAGTCACTGTAAAATCCAACAAAAATCAAACCCACATGGAGCTGACTCTCGCAAGCGAGCGAGCAAGCGAGCAAAAAAATAGTCTACGACGTGCCGTGGAAGCTCGAGTAACCTGTTCCCCCTGACATTACTCTTATAGGGCATATAAATGCATTTGTGTGCATTACCAGCGAGGCGCGTGTGCGACTTAGCCCTACCGGAAAAACGGGCTGATCATGCTGATACATGCGCGTGTTATATAGATATAGCTTTCGTACAGTTTACGTCCTTTTTGTAAAATACATCTACTGGTATTCTCGAGCTCTCCCTTCGTCTCGTCTTCTTAGCGTAAGAAACTATGTAAATCTCTATAGAGGTATACATGATAAAAAGAAGAGGTAAATCAAAATGGACAGCATTTCTAATTACATGGCCATTAAAGATAGTTAATGTACTAAAATAGTACTAATGAATAATTTATCATCAGCTTCTCGTTTCGTAATTAATGAAAGAGTAGCTTCTTATTTGTTCATTTTTCTAACAAAATTGTAAATGAATTACAACAAACTTTTTTTTTAACAATAGTCTATCTATCAAAAACAAATAAACATTTTATTTGACAGAAGATATCAGGTAACATCGTCATCTAACGGTCAAGTAGAATTGTATGATAACAAAAAACATACTCTCTACTTTATCGACAGCGATATTACCGTTCAACTCCATACTGTACTGTTTTACCATCAAGAGCTTTTTCCTACTCTTGGTAAATCTTGGTTCATAGGATAGTGTTGCTCAACTCATATCAACAGAAAGTACCAAACTATAACCTTCGAATTAAATCGATATTGTTACAAGTAAATACTTTCGGTTCATTGAATACACTTAAAATATGAGTTTCGATTATGATTTTAAGAAATTTATAAATTTAAATAAATAATCCTCTTCTTTTAAATGTGACTTAAATTTTCTGCATAAATCAATTAGTCATAACGCATAGCGGTTAATTATGTTCAATAATATTATCACAATACGATAGAATTTTGGTCCACCGCAAATAATGCGTCCAATTAACTCAAACTTCATAAAGTCTGTACTAATTAAAGTTAGCAATTACGCGTATTATCATGTAACATTTCGATATTATGATTATCGATCTTAAAACCACAAATTTGAATATTTTGTTCGATAATCAATATTACATATCATATTGCATTATCGACTTTAATAGTGAGTGCAGAAGGTCAATGAGATTGTAGTTTGAACCTTAACTACTCTCGCTTCTAAATTGAACTGCGCGAAAGTGATAGACTTGTACTGGCCCAAGCAGTATATAATAATCGTCCAGTCATGATCTCAGTAGTATAATTACAAGTGAAATGAATAATATCAACCCACGTAAAAATTTGAACTGTGTGCAATATATTTGCAATATATTGGAAATGTATATCTGCAATATATTGCCGCATGATTCGCCGATATATTGCTCATGTATTGGCCAGTTTACATTTGCCGATATATCGCAAATATATTGCATACAAAAATCAAAATTCGGCCTGATATACATTTCAAATATATGAATAATCATAATTTAGTTATTAAACAACCTATATGATTAAAGTAATAACTTTATTATTTATGAATAATTCGATGACAACTTTTGTAGATTAATATTTTATTCAAATTCAATGTTATTTACGGGTTCACAGATGAAAATGGTATCGTTAATAATCATTTTGATACATATGTCTTTTATATCATCTAATTTAACTAAAACTATTTGAGAATTTTCTACGCACTCGTGAATATATTCTATCGATCTTCCTTGAATATTCACAGAAAAAGGATTAATTGTGTCATACATTTTTATACATGCATAATTTTTTCCATCACATTCACAAAGTTCATTGCAGTCACAATTATTTATTTTATAAAATTTCAAAATACTACCTAAGTGTAATTGTCCTCTCATGTAAAATGTCACAAAGTTCGATTCATTTAATTGATTCTTTTGAATGAGTTCAGAGGTATACAATTTATTCTTTTTAAACATTTTCGAAAATATGAAAACAGTTTTTCCTTGTAAATTGTGTAACATTAAAAACTCCTCAGCTTTTGAAATAGATAACTTACTAATTTTACCGACCGAGAAAATAGAATTCTCTAGTGGTTTTAAATTGTACTTTTTTTTTGAGGAGAGCTTTGTACAAAATTGATACGCATCGGTATTTTTGCGAAGCCACTCGAATTGTAGAATATGAATTTTTATATGCAGATCTAAATTAGATAATAATTGTATTTCTGGCTTATTGCTACTGTGAATAAAAGCTTTCATTTTACCGTTAATGTCTTCTAAGGGAAAACAACAACTTGTCCACAACGGACCTAGTCTAGAAACTACAATCGGTAAGTGTCTTAAATGGTGCAAATTTGGGCTCATAAATTTTGGATCGTATAAGTCCGCAAACCTCATCGTAAATTCGTTTATTAAAATATCAGCGAACCTCAAGTTTTCTCGTGAAACAGAATTTTGTGAAAGTAAATAAGCGGCTAAAACAAGGTATTTATAATGATCAAAAATATCATCAGGTAGAATATTCTCTAATACTGGCAAGGAGTAATACAAACAAAAATTTTTATATTCTGCCGTCTTCCACAAAAGTAAATGATTTTTTATAGATCTTGGACGTCTGCTTATGTAAGATGGGGGTTTTATAGAGCAGAGCTTTTGATCTACTACGTCCGTGAGTTGTGATATATTAAAAGGTTCACTAGCGTACTTGACGTCGAACCAAAGCTCAATTAATTTTTTTATTACACCTCCGAAAAGGCAGTGCATAACGTCAACTGCTGTGGAGCGTATAAACTTGAAGCATATTTTGGACAATATCGTTGGACCTTTTACTCCAGCGACCGCAAACCCCATTTCAACGGCTTCAAATGAAGATTTTAAAACGTCACTTTCAGTGCGTAACTTCAAGTTAGGTACATATGGGTAAACTCGGGTGTTATTTAAATTTTCACCTTCTTGCACACAAACCTGGCATCCGAATTTCCCATTATACTGATTCATGGATAAAAATAACGATTTAGCCGGAAGATCAGCAGTTCCGCATATGATAGCGGCATGTAAAGTTATTTTTTTTTCTAGATCTGTCACAAAAATCTCAATACCTTTTTGTAATTTTTCGAAAGTGTCATATAACGGACGTAAAAAAAGATTTGGCAGAGGTTTCTTTTCTCCGAACCACAGAGACACTAAGATCATGTTTTCAATTTTATAGCGCTCGCTATATGGCAGTTCCAGTATTATCAAAAAAAAGCCCCAAATATTATATTTCGAAGAGCGAAAAATTTTAACACCATCCGTGTACCACATAAAACTTATCCAATATTCATTCGGACGAATATTTTTTAAAAATTTTTTGTAAATACTGCCATCGTAGACATCTTGCAAAGTAGAGCTATCTCGCGTTACAATTGTTTCTATTTTCGTGAGATTTTTGTAGAATTTAGGACGTTTGAATAGGGAATTCAGCTGTTTGAATAGAGGAATTTCAATAAAATACGATTTTTTTTCGTTGCACTCACACGGAACAAAAATGTCAACCTGTGTCTCATCTTCTGATAATTCATCCTCATCAATATTACTATCAGTATTCGGAGCTAAATTAACGCATTCTGAGCAAAAATAGTGCTTTTTCAAAATAGTCTCGTCGATACCACGAACGTATTTTTTAAATTTGTATAGACTCTGCGGGCATTTGTTATTTTTTGGTAAAACCAAAGAAAATAACTCCAATATATTGGCGATCTGGGTATCAGTTTGGCGGCTACTTGATTTTAAAACACCAATGCATACGACGAATTCACGTAATGTCATCGAAGCTCCATCGTAAAGCTCTTCATCCAATGATGAATGTATATTTTCTTCGGTGGCTCCACATTCATAAGAAAATTCACTGTCA